AAAAAACCCCAACCCCCAACTATTATAAATTTATTACAAATCTCTTGGCGGAGTTCCTGCCGAGTGTTTTGAGCAGCTCAGGCCTCGTTTTTCAACCAGCAGTTCTGTTGATGACTGTAAATAACCTTTGAACTTCCCACGTCATGTCCTGCAGCCACGTGGGTGCTGTGACTGCACTGTGAAGCTTAGGTGATGTTTATGCCTTGGCAGTTTATGAATGAGTTCTGGGGCTTTCTCCCAGAATGTATTTAGGTGGTAGCAAATGCCATATGGCTAAACCTGGTGTGTCTAATGCCACCCTGGATTCACTTCTACACTTTAGATTTGTGTTGTGTAAGAGTATTTTCACAAGAGAAAACAAGTCTTGGGTATGCTTCTTAGTAGATAAGAGAGGCGTTGGGATGTTTATCATAAAATGGTGGGCAGTTATGGTGCTTAAGTCTTCAGCCCTTCCATCTGTCAGACTAACAGTTCCTGGGTGTGAACTGAGAGGGGTTGGACTGGAGGTGACCCAGCTCAGTGTGCTGTTTCTGAAGAGGTGATAGGTGGTTGTGCAAGGAGTGCTGAAGAAAGAGCTCGCCTTCTTTTAGGTTGTCTCTGGCAAATAAATGCCTTAAGGATCATCCTGAAACTACTTTTTAAAAAAAAATCTGCCGGAAGGTCAAGCAGAAGACTTAAATGTTGGTTATCATCTGCAGTAAAATTTCCTGCTTTACCTGTCAGTTCAGAATGTATTTTTTATTTAGTAGGGTGGAAACAGAAGCTTCCAGAAGTCACCACCTACCTGGTATCTCTTTTTTAGCCTTTAGTTATGTTATGGCCATGTCCCTATTACATGTCAATTACATGTTTTCAAATCCTAGATTTGGGGTCTAAGACTGATTTTTGTCTTGACTGGACATGGCTTTAATTCTCCTATGCCCATGCTGCTGTCCAACTGCTGTCTGCAGGAGATCTGTAGGAAGCAAATGTGTGGAACTGAACAGCTTTCATTCCCTAATGCCCCTCATACTCTGCTGAGTCAGTTGCCTGGATGGCAGTCCTGAAGCTCCATCACTCAAAAAGCACAGGCAGGAGCAGAAATAGAACTGCAGAATGTTGACTTAAAACAGCAGTGCTGTGCTCAGAGGCCTGGCTTCTGGTCTGAGGTCTTGTTTGTGGACAAGCTCATAAGGATCAGAGTATGCCTTCTTTAAATATGTGGTCAAGTGATACTTATCTTTGCTAGAGAATGATCTCAACTTTTCCTATTTTCAGTTCAGTTTACCACATTTAGTGTGGTTTCAGTGTTTCCTTCACACATCCATGTAATGCCTGGGTTGATTTCCATAGAACTTGTCTGAAAACACTCCCTGGGAAAAAAATTAATAGTACTAAATTACAGCTGTTCCTCAGTTTTACTTCTTTTATTTGCATATGAAAAGGTGACTTAGGCATTTTGAAAAAGGTTGAGTCTCTGTCTCAGGATCATGTGGAGCACTTGCTCCAGTGATGCCTTCTGTCTGCAACTACTGACTTGTGTTTCCAGGTGATGGAGCACCTGCAGGCAACTATGGCTACACCAACAGTGGATACAGTGTTTATGAAGAAGAGAATGACAGGCTAACAGAAAGTCTGCGTACAAAAGTCAGTGCCATTAAATCGGTAAGTATTTAGTTATAGTGGTATCATCACATTTACTGAGTTACATTATATGAATCAGTGAAACAATAGACTTAATTTAAAACATGAATTTAATACCGTGGTGGGTTAACCCTGACTGGGTGCCAGGTGCCCACCAAAGCTG